TATTTATTTATTTTTTGGAACTGGGGATTGAACTCAGACCCTTGTGCTTGCCAGGGAAGTGCTTATTCCACTGAGTCATCTCCCTGGCCCCTTTATTTGTATGTTGATTTTTTTTTTATTTTATTTTAGGGAAGGGTCTATAGGGTGTTTGGGGTCTCACTTCTAGATCAGACTCATAGTGATCCGCCTGTGTTCAGCCTCCCAAAAGCTGGGATTACAGGCATGCGCCACTGTGACTGTGTTGATGTGACCCGAGTTCCTGGGCCTTGTTCAGTCTGGATGTCATATCAATGGCTGGGATGAAAAAGCTCATTTTTGGATTATTTCTTTGGTAGATAAAATTAATTCTAGTTAACAGGGTTTTTCCCAGTACTTTATAGATGTCACTTCATCATCTTCTGCTTTGTAACATAATTCTCTTTTCTTTTTTATTTATGTGTGTGTGTGTGTGTGTGTGTGTGTGTGTGTGGCCAGTTCAGCCCACCAGGGGGCGGGGCTGGCTGGCATGTGGTGCTGGGGGATTGAACCGCGGTCTCTGTGCTTTGCCAAGCTCGTTCCAAGTAGGTGCTTTAGACCACTGTGCCATCTCACCAGCCCTCTTTTTTTTTTTTTTTAAGACATGGCTTTGAACTCACAAAGTTCTTGCTTCAGTCTGCTGAGCTATCTGGCCAGCCCTGAGAGTGGTACACTTGTCTTGAGGTTTACTGTTTAGGTTTTATTGGCCTGGATTTGTGAAGTTATACTTTTCATCATATTTGGTAAACTTTGCTTGCCATTTCTTCAAATATATTTGTCTCCTCTCATTTCTAAGACTTCCAGTTATGTGCACGTTAGGCTGTGTGGCATGGTTTTCCTCTCTGCGTGGTAGCCAGTTTCAGTTGCTGTCTTTGAATGAACTGATCTCTTCTTTTTCAGAATTTATCTGATTTTAATCCTGCCTGGTATATTTTTCATTCACATATTGCGAACTTGGTCTGGTCCCCAACCTCCTAAAACAAGCTATAGTGAAGGCTTAAATGAAAGAGACAGTGTAATACGGTTTCTGGGGAACCAAGAAAGGTCAAAACTCTCTGGGAGCTAAGACCCCCAAGTTTTGCAAATCACTCATTTATTGGCTTCCACAGATTTGGAGGTTACAGGAAGAGGAGGGTACAACTGAGGCAAAAGCCCACCAAAAAATTACAACAAAGGCAGTAAATGCTGCTGATTAAGAGAAGTGCTTTCTCTCTATGGTTGGCAGCTTCATTGTTTGGAATGGGGAGTGTCAGCAGCCTGTCCTCCACTGCCTCAGCTGCGGTGTGGTCAGCAGAGCACTGTGAACGTGTGCTGGGAGCCATTGAGCTGGAAAATTGGTCAAATGTGTGTAGCAGGACTAGGCCTCAGTGCTTAAAACCAACAAGCTACTTGGCCCTGAGACAAGCATCCTGGATGGTTAATGTCAGCCATCAGTTACTAGGCAACCTTGTGTCATTCTCACCAACCAGGCAGACGAGTCACCACCTAACCCAGCTTTTGTCTTCTTGCCCATCTTTTCTTTGGTTCTGCTGCCATTTCTCCCAGTTTCTCCCTCAGTACAGCGGATCACTCTGAGACCCACGGATCCTTACAAATGTGGGTTTTCCAACACGGCCAGATGTCCCTTTGTGGTGGTTAGTAGTTGAATTCTGCACAGCCCCATCTCCAGCTTTCAGATACATTTTTCCTGTCTCTAGAAGTTCCATATGGATTTTGTATTTCTCATTTTTTTCATGTGCTGTCCTCACTTCATGCTTGAATATATGGAGCTTATTTATAATGATGGTTTTGTCTTTGCTTATGTCTTTATTTCTGTCATTGTCATCTCTAGGAGTTTTCCTTGACTGATGTGTTTACAGTTCCAGGTCACATTTTCTCTTTTTCCATCTTCCCAGCACTCCCACACCTTCTAATTTTGTTTGCACCTTCATAGGTGGTTCTTGGCTTCCCATCATGGCCTAGGAGAGCCCATAATTTTTTTTCCCCATGAATTTTACTACCAGTGGGTAGCTGAGCCCACACCTTCCTGGTTGGTGTTCTTCCCTTGGTTATCTCTCTCAGCCCTGTGGAGTCCTATTTTGAGTGAGAGAGTTGAGACAGGGTCTCCTTGTGTAGCCCAAGCTGGCTCCAAACTCAATGATTCTCCTGCCTCAGCCTCCCAAGTGCTGGGATTGCAAGTGTGTGCCTCTACAGCCAGCTGTGGAGTTCTCTTTTGTTCCTTCATCATTCATTCACTCTCTTTTCTCTCTCTCTCTCTCTTTTCTCTCTCTCTCTCTCTCTCTCTCTCTCTCTCTCTCTCTCTCTTTCATACAGGGTCTCACTACACAGCTTGTACTCATAGTGATTCTCCTGCCTCCCCAGAGGTGGGATTATAAGTGTGCACACCCGGCATTCTGGAGCTAGCATGGCATGAAGTACTGATAGAACTCTGGTCCTTGCACTTGCTAGGCAGGTACTTAGCTTGGTAGTCTAAGGGCCTTCCTGGTAAGCACAAGGACCAGTAACGCAGCACCGTGTGGATATGCCTCCTCTCCAGGCCTCTACCCAACTAGCCACTTTGGCCCTGGGCTCTGAACTCTGTCTTCGAATCTCTAGAAGTGACTTTTGCTGGAGTTTCAGCCCCCTGCATCTCTGCTGGACCCCTTCCTGGCTGATGCTGGTGCAGTCACAGGGCTGGCTCGCCTCCCTGCTCTCAGGCTCACTGTCTTGCACTATTTCATGGTGGGTGAAAGCTGCCACGTCATGTGTACTGTTCCATTGCTGAGGGGTTCCTGTTACTTCACCTTAAATGGACTAATGCGAATAAAAGAACAAAGAAACAGCCTACCAGGAATGTGAAATTCTAGTGAAGCTGACTGATTCATATTAACACTCCCCTTTTCCTTCTTTCATTAGCCAGCTTCCAGTTAATAATGGGAGCAGCAAGATGACTGTAGCGTGGTGGCAGCTTGGATGTTGGCCCTCCAGCAAGCTTGCATCTTACCATCTCCCAGTGGCCCTGTCCCCTCTGAGCTTCAGCACCTCTGCCCAGGAGCCCAGTGAGGACAGGAGCCAATCACCTGGAAGCACAGAGCTGCTGCCTTCCCTCACCAGCCCTAGGAGTCCACCTACATCTGACCACTGCTTTCAGCTTGCCAGAGAACCAAAATGACCACGTTGGACTCACTCCTGAGGCCCCATCCATGCTGCAGCCAGGGCAGGGGCAACTGATGGCGAAATGATGGCCCAGTGGGCAGCTGTACATGCTGGCCCAGTCAGGCCACAGAGAAGGGGGAGTTAGGAAGCAATGAGCACAGTGAAAGGTAAGAGGATGGTGGAACTAGTGCTGCACCTGGAGGCTCCCACGGAGACAGACCCTGGCAATGTGCTTCACCAACCCCACCCTGACCAGGCAGTATGAGGAAATTTGCTCAGAGCATGGAGGCAGGCCCTCTGTCTGCTAAGCCTGTTCCCAGCTCCTTGGGAAGCCCTCACTACTGGTGGAAATTGGGACAGGATGGTGCACAATGGCCTCAGTGACTGCCAGTCTTGGGAGGCCGAGCTCCTGGAGGCCCACTGAAGGCCTCTCCCTGTGGAATGGCTTTTCCTTGCTTGGCTGAGACTCTTTCCTGCCTCTGTCCCCCTCAACTTTTATCAAGATGTTGACACATAGAAAACCTAACAGTTCATAGCTTCCTGTGGGCAGTGGGCTGGGAGGCCTCAGGAGACCTTGGGGACCACGGTCTCCTTACACCCAGGACAAGACTGCCAGTGGCAGGGCCATGGTGCCTCAGCATCCAAGGGGACCACAGGTGAGCAAAGGGTGGGATCAAGAGCCAGGGGAGGCAAAGAAGTCTGAGACCAGCCTTCTACCCATCCAAGAAAGAGTAGGAAGAACTGGACAAAAATGATACTTTGTCAGACTCAGGTTCAAAGGCCTGTGGGTAGAGCCATAGCAGCCACTGTGTCATGGGGACTGTACTGTCAGTCTGGTGCTGGCTCCAGTTCTCCCAGCTAGCATGAAGCTTCTCCTGGTATGATTAGCTTCCTTCTCCCAACAGAGTCCATACCAGTTCCTCCCTGAGGGTGGCTGTCCAGTTGAGACCCCACACCAGCAAGTGCTGAGTCCTCTCAGACCTCTTAGTCAAGACCGATCTGCCCTTGACAGTGCACTACTGCAGGCCACTGCATCCCCATCGGGACTTGCCTCCCTCTGCCAGAACTGTGGACAAGGCTGAGTTCACTGTGTCCTCCACTTGTCAGGGCCAAGGGGCCCTCTCATGCCAGATGCTTGTGCTGAAGTAGGGTCAGTTAGAGAGCCTCAGACAGCAGAGCTTGGCTCCCTGCTGTTTGGTACAAGAAGGCCCCTGACTCCTCACCCAGTGGGTTCTCAGTGAGCACCTGCCGGGGCTAGGCCTCCTCCATGTGCTGCTGCTTTGCCCAGCTCTTGTGGATTTACACCTTGTAGGGTGAGCCTAATCATGCAGTAGATGTCTGATGCAATGCCTGGTGAGGGAAAAATGCTAAACTGGGCAGAGGACATGGGGCAAGCAGAGGAGGAGACAGGGCAACAGTGCCAGCAAGGGCCCTGAGGCAGGGACCCCTTTGGAAAACATGATTGGAACTGTCCACGTGAAACCAACAATAGTGTTAAAGAGGAGCCCCACACTAGGTGGGCTGGAGGCTCCTCCGTGACACGACCCAGAGAGCAGAATCCCCATGAAGGAAGCTGCTCTGCTGTGGCACTCTGTCGGCCCCAGGGCACCCTACTCTAGCAGCCAGGCTGAGGCAGAGCTGATCATGGGCCCCTGTCCTCTCTGAAGAGCTGCCAGTCCCAAATCCTGGCATGTGCTATCCTCACTGTTCAACAAAGCTGACCAGGACATTGGCTGTGACCCTAGACATCAGATGAGGCTATTTGGCTGGGCAGAGGTCGTGGCACTCATGCTGGCCTCCACCACCACCTGGCACACCTGGACAGGACATACACAGCTGGGTTAGGGCCACGTGGCTGTGATGCTTGGACCAACCCAACTGAATATCAACTCACGTTCACGTCATTTTCTAGAGGCAGCTTCTGATGTGGAGCAGCTCACCACTGCCAAGCACCACCAAGGGCTTGAGTTTCCAGCGTCAAGGGCATCTGCAGAAGGCCTGGAGAGGGGCTGGCAGCCAGGCACAGCTCAGAGGTAAGCCCCTTCCTGCTCCCACATAGGCTCTTCCTCCTCAGGCTCTGGCTGGGCAGGGTGTTCAGAAGTGAAGCCAGAGGCCGCAGTTCTCCCATGGTAGAGACCCAACTGAACCAGCAGGCTCCTAGGACCCAGATCTGAAGGGAAGGAGTCCAGAGATGGGACCGACACTCGGCTCCAGTTTCTCCATGAGCACTTTTTCATGGAGCTATTCCAAGAAGAGAGGCTGGAAGTAGCAGTTTCATAGAGCCAGGAAAGAAATCAGAGTTGGTCAGGAGGAAAAGCCCTAAGACATGATCCACTTCTGGGTTGGAAGGCCGGAGGCCTTGGCGGACTGTTGCTTTTTGTCTGTTTTTTGGTACTGGGGATCGAACTCAGGACCTTGCACTTGCCAGGTAGGTGCTTATGCCACTGAGCTATATCCCTGGGCCCTAGACTGCTGTTAGATCTGAAGATGACATGTGTCTGCCAAGTCCCTGACAGGTGCATAGCAGCCTGTTCTGCTGCCCACCATGGAGATGGTGAGCCCAGACCCCTGCATGCCACCATGCATGGGCCCGGTGCTGTCAGAAATGACAAGGCACATGGAGAATGGAAGCAGAAGAAACACGACAACTCACAGCTGAAGAGGTTGCCTGTCAGATGTGAGCACTGAAATAGCTATGGCTAACCATGCAAAAAAACCTGGGAGATGGAGACTTTCACAGAGTGGTGGAATTCATTTTAAAAACAATTCTAGGGGCTGGAGAGATGGCTCAGTGGAATAAGTGCTTCCCTGGCAAGCGCAAGGGCCTGAATTCAATCACTGGTTGTCATTTAAAAAAAAAAAAAAAGAACCAATTCTAAAGCATACCTTGGGGTCCCATTATGTGGTCAGGAAGAGCTTTGTGGCTAGTGCCCCACTGGAATAATAAGCTCACAGCTGAACCTGTGGGCACGGGAAACAGAAAGGATGCTGACCTCCAACAAACATTTTGGAAAATGGTTTTAGGCAGCCATCTTGCCATTTGTGTCTCCGGTAAAAGTGCACAGAGAGGTAGACGTGAGTGGGAGCAATAGAAGAGGGCGAGGCAGAGCCAGCAGGGGTGCAGCCCTTGGGGCCTCCCACACCAAGCCACCGAATGCCAATCATTTCAGCAGTGTGCTGGGCTCAGCATGGCTGGCCAAGTGTGACCGTGCAGCTGTCGTGAGTCTCAGCAGTCCAGATGCAGGTTGTCCTGTGGAATTTTCCACCCTGAGTTAGTTACTTCTTTATAATGAATGAGCAGGAATAAACTCACACAGGCCAGTGAGCCCCGCTGGGTTGTGGGCCAAGGGTAGAATGCTGAACTGAGAGAGGTCTGTGCCATGCTCAGGGATTAAAGCAAAGTCACAGCAAAGATGTGGCCCTTGGCTTTTGTCCTCCAAGATACTCTGTCCGTGAGGCCTCCCAAGGTATGCTCACCAGGCTGGGAGACGTGCCTGGTGGGACACAATAGCCACACGCCCCTCAGAGTTTCTGATTGGCTCCAACTGAATCCCTGGTACCCAAGTGTCACTTGGATGCCTGTATTGTCCTCTGAGGGTCTGTGGAAGAAGGGACATTCTCACCCAGAAGATAAGCGTCCTATGGAGGAGTAGGGCAGGGGAAAGTGCGGCTCAGCAAACCTCGAAGTTTCCGCCGCTTCATGCTGCATGTTCCAGCATGACAAGAAAGCCACGGCTCTTCCTGGAGGGAGCTGGGGTTCTCACGGAGACACTGGCCATGGAGAGTGGACACAGAGATGAGCGACACATGAAAAGAAAGCAGCAAGGTCATGTTAAAAATGAACAGTGGGGCCATGGGTGGGAAGATGATAGCCACACTGGAGGTGACACTGAGATGAAATAGAAGGGCAAGAAGGCCGCAGCTACCCAGGAATAGAAGGCACTGCACTAGTCACATAGGTCCCGACAAGCATTGAATTTCTTCTTTAGGACAATGAGAAACTGGTGACAGACTGTAAGCAGAATAATGTGATATGTGATCTGATTACACATCCATGAGCTCTCTTGAGAGCCTTGTGGATTGTGGGCATGGCTTCTGGAATTAGGGAGGCCGCAGGGAGAGAGCAAGTGGTGACAGTGGGTGGCTGTAGAAGGTTTGTAAAGTGTGTGTGAGGGTTGAGAGTCAGCAAGGAGCCATGATGATCTCGGGGATTTGCCTGAGAATATGGATGGTGGTGGAACCACAGCAATAAACTGAGAAGGCAGGGAGGTGGCTGCGGGGCATTATGACTGCGGGAAGTTGCGATGCCCACCATGGGAGGTATCGCCACAGGAGCGGAAGTCTGGGAGGAAACTACCTCCAAGGAGACCCTCGGGTGATTCCTGGGCCAGTGACAAGACCTCTCCTAGGAAGGCAGAAAGGCCCTCTGAGCCCCAATCTGACAGCCGGTCACTGTCTACCAACCCAAGTCTGACAGAAATCCTCCCTTTTCTGCTTCACCCTCCACATGCAATATGCCACATGCAAGACTGTGGTGCTTGGGGCCGGGGAGATGGCTCAGTAGAATAAGCACTTGCCTGAGTTCAGTGCCCAGTTCCTCCAAAAAAAAAAAAAAAGCAAAGACTGTGATGCTCATGCCGTCTGCCCGACCTAGAACCACCCTGCTCCTCTGGCTACCTAAGCAGGGGTCCTCCTTCCCTCTGTCTAAGGGTCTTTCTCAGATACAAACCTCAGTGTTAATTTCTTGTTACCTTACTTATGAATGCTACAATGGCTGTGTGGCCTTTAAGTTTTGATTTTTAGGACTTTTTAAAAATCATGGAAAATTTCAACATACTTGATATAGGCCAGTATGAAGAACCTTCACACACCTATCACCCAGCCTTGAGATTGCACTCTTGTGTATTTTTGGTTGTGTTTTGTTTTATGGTACTAATCCAGGGCCTTTAGACTGAGTAACATCCTAATCTCCTTTTTTGTGGCAAGATCTTGCTAAGTCACTAAGTTGCCCGGGCTGAACTCAAAACTTGCAAGGGCTTCTCCTTCCCCAGCCTCCCAGGGTGCTGGACTTGAAGGAGTGCACTGCTGGAGTGCGTGTGCTGGGGCACAGTGTTGTGAAGCAAATCCCAGGCACCCTATCACCTCATCCTGACATACGTCAGTCTTCCTCTGTGAAAACATAATGAGAATGCTATTGCCAAACCTTGACACACTTATTTCCTGAGTGAGTCTCTTTCTCTGATTGCTTTCTATATGGCTTATTCAACAAATGTGTTTACATGATTAAAAGATTTGTTTGGGAGGCCAGGGATGTAGCTCAGTGGCACAGTGCCTGCCTGGCAAGCACAAGGTCCTAAGTGCAAAAAAAAAAGATTTGTTTTGGCTGAGTGTGGTGGCACACACCTATAATTCCAGCACTTAAGAGGCTGAGGCAGGAGGATCACTGCAAGTTTGAGGCCAGCCTGGGCTACACAGCAAGACCCTATCTCAAAACAAAACCCAACCAAGTAAAAGATTTATTTTACAGAGCCCAAAATTTCTTCTTACTCTAAGCTGCCCCCACCCCTGTACACTTCTTTTTCCTTAAAATTTATTGATGAGGTTGTGCTTGGACTGTACTGTTTTGTGCAGCCTGGAGAGTGCTATGTCCCCCCTGTGCTGCTGACCATGAGCCTGTTTCTATTTGCTATAGGTTCGAATTCAGGTTCAGAGGTCTGATCAGGTTTAAGATTGTTTGGGCAGGGATCCTTCCTCAGCGCTGCTGTATTCTTTGACCAGGAGGCACAGAGTGTGTCAGGGGCTGTATTTCAAAGTCCTCTACTCCTTCCTGGGTCATTTCACAGTCTTGCTCTTTGCTAGTGTCTTAGCCATGGGAAACCTCCTAACTAGGATTTCTCAGCAGTACTATCTGCAGAGAAAAGGCAGGGTAAGATCCCGGCTCTTGGACTTTTATTGCTGGTCTATAGAATGAGTTGGCTCTCTCCGAGCACCTACTAGGGGTGCCAGGTAGTATTTTCATATCACTTGAACTCATGGATTTAAATTTTATGAGACACACGTAATCCATTATAATTCTCTTCTCAGTATTCACTTGTAGAACTGAGAATTTCTTTGTGAGATGTTCAGGCAATTGTAAACTACTGAGTAAAGCAGATACCCGTGACTCAGATATACCCATGCTTGTTAGATCAAAGTTTCCCAGACTTGGTACAGAGTACTCTTTAGTTAAGGTTCGTTCCCCAAACCCAAACTGGCCCCAAACTTCTAGGCCCAAGCAACCCTCCAGCCTCAGCCTCTGAAGTACCCGGGCTACAAGTACACACCACTGCACCTGGAAGGGTCTTTAGGCCAGAAATCCTTAATTAGTTCCATTTATTAAACAGGTAAATCCAAACAACATTTATGCTTTGCAACTTATGGAACCCAGGGTGTGTAAATAATGACAATTCAAAAGATACCCATGGACTCTGGATGTTAATTTACATGGCAAAGGAGGAGTTTGAAGGTGTGATTAAGGGCCCTAGGATGTGGACATTGTTTTGGATTCCTGGGGAAGACCTAAGTGAAGTCACATTTGTCTTTGTAAAGGAAGATTTGACACAGAGGCCACATGACCATGGAGACAGAGACTGGAGTGACATAGCCCCAAGCCCAGCATCACCAGAAGCCGCCAGAGGCTGGAAGGGACTAGGATGGGTCCCCAGAGCTGAGGAAACCTTCCCTGTTGATACCTGAGTTCTGGGCTCTGGCCTCTAAAACTGTGGGATAGATCTCTATTGTTGTAAGCCACCAAATGCATGACAGTTTTTATAGCTGCATCAGGGAATAAACACACTTGGGAAGGTCAGAGATTCTGAAAAGAAATGACTGGGCCAAGCCCTGGGCCTGCAGTCCCCATCTTTCTCCAGTGGCACCACAGGTCTAGCAGCCCCGATGCTGCAAGACCCAAATCCCTATTCAAGCCCCCAGTTTTTTGCCAAGTTGCCTGGACTTCGGCCAGAATTAAGACAGCAGTGTTGGATGGTGGGAGAGTCATGGACTAGCATGCACCTTCCCAGGTCAGACAGGCAGACTGGTGAGCACAGACCAGCCCTACCCTCAGCCACACACTCGCTCCTGTCCCTAGTAGGAAGAATGCAGGATGGGCAAAGGACACTATCATGCATTGTATAACCAAGTGCAAACATGATTATCAGGTACTATTTTTACAGTAGCAAGGAGCCTATCTGGTGTAGTCAGCCCACCCAGAGCCCTCGTGTGAAGTCCACATATGCAGTGCCATAGTTTGGCACATTCAGGCCAAGTGGGCACACGTGTCCTGGGGGCGGTCTGGGCTGCCTGAACCTTTAAAAGCCCCAGCAGGACCTGCAGTGCCTGTGCCAAGACCAGAACCTCAGCAGCTCTCCAAAGCCTGCCTGCTGTTTTTCTTTAAACTGCCTTGTGTAAATTATTTTTTTCCTTAGGGCAGCAAAAGAATATCCCAGATTCTCGGCTGAATTTCCACTGCTTCTGCATCTCCTTGGGTGAGTGCCAGGCTTGGTCACCCCTGAGGATTTCCTTCAAGTGCCTGGACAATCTGGGGGCAGGGAGGACAGCTCAGGGGTGGATCCCACCAACACAGCAGAGTCCACCTGAGCAAGTGCTGGCCCTTGTGGGCTCTGGTGCCATAGCTGCCTTAGGCGGGCATTGTTTCACTGCTTCTGCATCCCTGTAACCTACCCCCTCCCAGGATGATGGGCACAAGATCAGTGGCAGTGCTGTTTGCCCTTGCCGGCTTGCTGCAGGTGGCTGTGCCCCTGAAAATTGCATCCTTTAATATCCGGACTTTTGGGGAGACCAAGATGTCCAATGCTACCCTCTCCAACTACATTGTGCAGGTAAGCCCAAGGTGGGCTGTCCCTAGGAGGCCTCAGGGGGAGGGGATAGTGGGTCCTAAGTATGCAGGACAGCCCTGTGGAGCCACAGGCTGCATGTGGGGCATCAAGAGCTTTTGGGCTCTGGCCTCATTCACCATTGGGTGCACATCAGTCAGGGTTTTGTCTGCTGGTGTCTTGGTCACTACCATGATATCAGAGCTGTGGACTGAGCTGTGCCATAAAAACACCCCAAGGAGCAGCAGCTTTAGCCCTGCAGAACAGGGACTGCAGCCCCTACCCAGCAGGTTGTTGTGGCCCTACCCCTCAGATCCTGAAGCGCTACGACATCGCCCTCATCCAGGAGGTCAGGGACACCTACCTGGCGGCCGTAGGGAAGTTGCTGGATGAACTCAATCGGTGGGTGACTATGGTGGGGTGCTGGGAAAAGTGACCACTATATCCAGGGGCATAGCCTCCCTTCCATTTGTACCCAGAAAGTGGACAGGGCCCTGTAGTTGGCAGCCAGAGGGTTCCTCCTGTGGTGCTGACAAGACCTTTGGTTTCCTCCATCCAGGGATGTACCAGATACCTATCGCTTCGTGGTCAGTGAGCCGCTGGGACGCAACAGCTATAAGGAGCAGTACCTTTATGTATTCAGGTGAAGCCCTGAGCCCATGTGACCTGTGACAGCAAGGATCCAGCTGTGGGGAGGAACAGAGAGGGTAATGAGGCCCTCCCTTGCCTGGGAACATCCCAGCAGGCTGAGGACAATGAGAGTGCAAGGCCACAGGGCATGGTGCAGGCTGGGCTGGAGATGAACTACTACCTCTCCGCCCAAATGAGATGAACTGGCTCCTCCTCTGCTCCAAGCATGTGGAGGGGCCAGGGCAGACCTGGCTCCTCCTGCTGTGCTGGGCAACAGCTGTCTGCAAGCGGCCCAAAGGAGCTCGGCCAATGTGCAGGGCTCCCAGCTGCAAGGTTACCTCTGCTTGCCTGGCTTTCTCACAGGCCTGACCAGGTGTCCGTGCTGGACAGCTACCAATACGATGATGGCTGTGAGCCCTGTGGGAATGATACCTTCAGCCGTGAGCCCGCCATTGTCAGGTTCTCCTCCCCATTCACACGTGAGTATCTTAGCAACCTTCTTGGGGTGCACAGAGAGCCTGGGGGATGGGCAGTGGTGTTGCCTCATACACTCTTCTGGGAAGTTTGCCATTCCAGTGCTATTTTCCACTCAAGTTACCTAGGACAGTCCATCCTCTGAGGAATTGCTGTGCGTCCTTTGTGTGACCGTAAGCTCCAGGGCACCCTGGGTACTGAGTTTTCCCACTCTCTTCCCAGAGGTTAGAGATTTTGCCATCATCCCCCTGCATGCAGCTCCAACAGACGCAGTGGCCGAGATTGATGCCCTCTACGATGTCTATCTAGATGTTCGGCAGAAGTGGGGCCTGGAGGTAAGGCTCGCCTGAGGGCCCTGGCTTTAGTGGCCCCATTTGTCCCTGGGCCAACAGGCAGGTATTTCCTGGCAGGACATCCTGTTGATGGGTGATTTCAACGCTGGCTGCAGCTATGTGACTGCTTCGCAATGGCCCTCCATCCGCCTTCGCACGAGCCCCATCTTCCAGTGGCTAATCCCTGACACTGCTGACACCACGGTGACATCTACGCACTGTGCCTATGACAGGTGGGCAGGGATCTGGTGGGCACGATGGACACCTGCCTAGTCTAGAACTTTGACCCAGTCTTTCACACTGATACCTTGAGCGTTCATCTAGCCACTGAGGAAGCAGACTTTTTAGTTTTTTGGAAAAGGCTGCTTACGGGTAAAGGGCAGGGCAGAAGCTCAGGGTTTCAGGGTCATCGTTCTCTTCTGAACAGCCTCAGGGTGAGGGGTGGTGGGTGCTCTTTAGGTAGGCTCAAACGAGGTCTCAGCCATGGCCCACCAGCCCCAGAGAGCAAGTGCCATGAGACCAGTGACAGACCACATGTGGCTGAAGAGACCCTTCTCTTCCATCCCCGCCCTGCAGGATTGTGGCTGCAGGATCTCTGCTCCAAAGCAGAGTTGTTCCAGACTCAGCTGCTCCTTTTGACTTCCGGGCGGCATATGGACTGACTCAAGAACTCGTAGGTGTCCTTCCTTCACATATGAGCTCACCTGGGAGACACAGGAGCTTGGTGGGAGCTGCCTGTGATTTCTGGTGTTACTGCTTTCTGCATGTCTCACCAACACAGAGCTAACTATTCAATGTAACCCTGCTGGGCTCTGGGAATAGTTTGGGCACAGCCCCCCTCCACCTGCTCTTTCTCCTGGGAAGATTGGCAACATGATTCTAGATGTAAGAACTAGATGCCTTGGGTTCAAGTCCTGACCCCGCAGCCTCCCCATATTGCATGTCTCTCCTAGGCTGAAGCCATCAGTGACCACTACCCAGTAGAAGTGATCCTGAAGACAGCCTGACACCCACGGGCAGCACAGCCAGCTGGGTCCTCTTTGGTAGCTACTGACCCACAGCACAGCAGGCACAGTGCCCCTTTCCCCACTTTGGTGGGGGCCATCAAGCATGGGCAGTCACTGCAGCATTCTACCTTCTCAGAACCTGGACAAAAGAGCTAACATGTGGATTAAGAAATAGCTTTTAATTGAGGTAAATAAAGCTCACGGTGGTGGTCACAGCCACAGTGTCTGTCTTTCCTCTTTGTCTGGGGCTCACTTTCCAGGCAGAGACACACAGTTCCATCTGTCCTCTGGGCTGCACCTCAGATTGCAGGACCAGCTGCTTGACTGTCAGTGTTTCTCCAGGGCCTTGACAAGAAGGTCATTCAGGCGGCTCACCATGGGCCTGGGGTCATCGACAAGGCCTGCTGCTATCATGGCGTTTTCATAGATCTGAAAGGCGGGTTGGATATTATGCAGGATGGGACAACAGGGGACCTAAAGTATGACGACAAGAAAAGAGAACAGCTCCAAGCCCTGATTCCCCCAGCTCCTCTCACCTGATCCACAAGCAGCTGGGCCAGTTCCGGCTCACGCTGTCTCAGCTCACTGAGCTTCCTGATGAGTGTGTGCCTGTAACAGGAAATTACAGGCCAGTCAGCTTGGGCTGGGCACCAGGGCCTCCTTCTTCATGTCCCAGACACCTCTATAAGATGTCAGTTTGCAGAACATTCTACAAAGTGCAACAGGTCTGTTGGGGATGAAAATGTGCATAAAAATTAGCTGTAAGTGACCTTTACATACGTAATGATTCTATACCCTGAAAGCCTGAAAGAATCAGAAAATACAGAAAGGTGGACATGCAACAAAACATGTACTAAAACACTTCACAGTTTCATCTTGAAGACCATAAAGGTGAAACTTTCCTAAATTAATCCAGTGGATTCATTTAATTCATTAATAGACTATGTTAAATGATTTCTTTTGTACCATTCAGACAATTAAGTTGGATTTCTACCTTATTCCTTGATCAAATTCCTAGAGAGATTAAAGGTACAAATTTAAATCATAAAAGCATAATGTTGTAGGGAAGGGTACAGCTCAGTGGTAGAGCAGCTGCCTAGCATGTGCAAGGCCCCAGGTTAGATAAAATAAAAAAAAAAATAAACGCATAATGCTGGAACAAATAAAAATTTTATAATTTCAGGAGAAAGACTTCCCAAATAAAATGGGAGTGTGCCCTCGCAGGGGGTATTTGGACCCTGGCTCCTTCCTGTCATACTTTGCTTCCTGGCTACCAAGAGGAAGCAGCTTCAATCTACCCTGCCCTTCCTGCCATGATGTTATGCTTCACAACTGACTTTAGCGTGACTTTTTTTGTATTTGGGAGAGGGTCTCACTATGCAACTTGGACTCATAGTGACCTTCCTGTTTTCAGCCTCCCTAGTGCTGGGATTATAGGAGTGCACCACTACACTCAGTCTCTGTGGCTGGCTCAGTGTGCCTGGGGATGGGGCTAGCGCAGCACATAGTACCAGGGATCAAACCCTGATCCATATGCTTGTCTAAGCAGGCGCTTAGTCTGCTGAGCTATCTTGCTAGCCATAGCACTAAATCTCTGAATGTGTAATTTTTTTTTTTTTTTTTTTTTGTATTTTAGTACAGGATCTCACTATACAGATTGGACTCATAGTGATCCTCCTATTTTCAGCCTCCCAAGCGCTGGGGTTATAGGTGCACACCACCACGCCCACTTTCAAAATAATTTTTTTCTGCTTTTGAATTATTTCTAAGGTGTTTTGCCATAGTGATAGTAAGTTCACAAAGATAGGTCAGCTCTATAAACAGCTATCCAATTACATATAAGCTTTCTGACTTTCCTCAGTCTTTTGTGTGTGTGTGTGGGGGGGGCACTGGGGACTGAATTTAGGACCTTAGGCTTAACAGGCAGGCACTTATGCCCTTGAGCTATCTCCCCAGCCCTTCCTTAGTCTTATACTCCACAGTAAAGCATGGTGTGGTGGCACACACCTATAATCTCAGCATTCAGGAGGCTGAGGCAGGAGGACTGGTGTGAGTTTGAGGCCAGGCTTGGCTACAAAGTGAGTTCAAGGTCAGCCTGAACTGCACAGTGAGATCCTGTCTCAAAAAACAAAAACCCCAAAACCAACCCCCCCCACCCCCCAGGTTTTGTAAGAACCCCTGAAAGGTCAGAAGGGAGCCTGGGCTACACCTGGGGTTGATTTCCAGCGTGGGCTGCAGGAGCTGTGCACGCTCCTCTTCGGTCTTGGCTAGTTGCTGCATACGCAGGAAGTGCCGGGCGGCCCCCATCTCTAACACAGTCACCATGGCAGGGTGGGTGTCCAGGCGGAGAGTCACCTGCAAGAATGGCCAGAGTGAAGCTGAGAGGGACCTCAGTGGCCAGGGACTGGCAGGGCTCTCCTGGGTCAACGAGGAGGCAGCATCTCTAGGACAGCCCCCAACTACCCAAGGAAACTTTGCTCCTCCCTCACCACGATCCACATCAGCCTGGCTGGGGATTCTTGCCCCCTTCCCCAAAGTGCTGAAGGCCATCTTGCCTGCATTTTTTCAAGGGCCCCCAGTGGTGGTAGTACAGAATCCGGCCCCTTGGCTTGGGCCAGAGAATCATCTAGAGCCAGCCCAGCTACCCGGGAGAAGTCAACTCCTGAACTCTGATTCAAATGTCAGCTCTCTCATGTCTAGCTGTCTGTGATCATGTCCTCATCAAACTGGAGACAACAGTTACCTGAGGCCTAACAACCTGGAACCTGTAAAGCAGAGACACTATGTGTTATAGAGGCATGAGCCACTGTGGAGTCCTGTCTGCACATCTTGACAGTAATTCCTTCTCTTTCAGTCAAGGTATCTCCTGGGCCTACCCTAACCCAACCTGCACACCAGCCTCGCCCTTGGGGGCCACTCCCGCATATGGGGCTAAATGAGAGCTCTGCAAAGGGCATCCCTTTGTTGATGCATCTTTCTTTCCCATGAACTAGACTAGCAGGTTCTGAGCTTTCTGATGCTCACCTGGAAGCACACCCCAAATCAGAATATAAGTTCCCCTCAAACTGAAGTGGCATGTCCCTTCTTTGGAACCCCCATTTCAGCCACTGCAGCTTGTACACGATCCAGAACAGGCTGGCCCCAGACCTTCCTTTTCTGCTTCCACTTACTCATTAGCTGTGGCCTGCTCCTTTATCTCCTCAGCTCCTGATGCTATGGGGAATGAGAGCCAGGCCCCTCTCTCCCTGCCACCACAGGCTCCTGGGCTTCACGTGTTCACATATATGTGCAGAAGAGGGGACCTGTGGCTTCATACAAGCCTGGGAACAAAGGCCTTCATGGTCTCCACCTGATACCACAGGCTTCTGCCTCTGGGCAAAAGCCTACCAGGGCAGGGACTCAGAGCCACAGTGGCCTGTGATAGGCACCTAGGCCCACAGAGCCAGGTGGTAGCCCATCCCAGGAAGTCTCACCTTCACATTGGTGACTCGGGACCCCAGTACATTCCGCATCCAGGCCATCAGCTCCTCTGTCTCCTTCTCGGATAGGCGCTCCCCAGCTGCAGAAAGAGCAGGCATGAGTGAGCTCAGAGGCCATGGCCTGTAGCCCAGGTAATTTTTTTGGGCCTTAAAAAGTCAATTTGGGGGCTGGGGAGATGGCTCAGTAGAGTAAGTGCTTGCCTGACAAGCGCAAGGGCCTGAGTTCAATCCCCAGTCCCGCAAAAAAAAAAAAAAAGCCAATTTGGTGGGGCCCGGGAGATGGCTCAGTAGAATAAGCACTTCCCTGGTAAGCTCAAAGGCCTGAGTTCAATCCCCAGTTCTGGGGAAAACAAACAAACAAACAAACAAACAAACATCAATTTGGAGTCAAACAAACAAACAAACAAACAAAAAAAACAATTTGCCAAATAGTTCAGCAGATTAAAGTGCCTGCAAGCAGGCTCAGGGGCTGGGGGTTCAATCCCTGGGCCTGCAGTGCTGGCCCCGTCCCCGGGGCACTCTGAGATGGCAATTGAGACAGCGTGGCAGCGCGCGCCTGTAATCCCAGCACTTAGGAGGCTGTAAACAGGAGGATCACTACGAATCCGATCTACACAGTGAGACCCTGTATACCCTGTACACCCTGTTCTAAAAAAAAAAAAAAAAAAAAAAAAAAAAGTCTCTCAATAAAATTATGGAAGGGCCTGGGAGATGGCTCAGTCAAATAAGCACTTCCCTGGCAAGTGCAAGGGCCTATGTTCAATCTCTGGTTCCACAAAAATAAATAAATAAATAAATAAATAAATAAATAAATAAATAAAATTATGGGAAAAAAAAAGTCAATTTGGTTTCTCTAAGGATGCTTGGGCAGGAGCCACAGTGGAAGCAGCAGTAGAAGGACTCCTGGGACCCAATGTTTTCCCATGAATAGTTTCCAAGCAGCTTTTCTCATAGGTGGGTGTCCCCAGACCCAAGACAGAAAAGAAATCCCATGTGGCTCCGTCGGCAGTCTGAAGAGGCCCTACTTGTTAGCCCCGCCACCCAGCTTTGTGGTCCCCCAATATCTTGAGAAGGTAAGGAACTGACCTGGGGATGAGTCCTCAAACTTCTCTTCCTTGTAATGATCAACAACTATATCTGTCTCCACAGAAATCAGCTTCTTCTTGTCAAACTCACGAAGGTGCAACAAGGTGAGTTCATCAAACTGCTCATAGCAGAAGAGGACCTGTGGATGCCCCAAACCTTCCTTCACACCCATGGCAAAAGACGAGACAGCTCCGAGGAACACTGGGGACTCGACTTGAGTGGTAGTTTACCCAAAGATTCTGAGGGAAGCTCTAGCAGTCTTGGCAGCAAAAACACTATTCATGAACAAACCTACCCATTACCACCTGTGAAATGCAGTCACTCTGGAAGCAAGGGCCCTGTCTCGCACCATTATTGCCTCCCAAAACTTGAGCCTGTTTTCCACTAAGCAGTCGCTTAAAATCTGTCCCTCAGTGTGCAGCCCCAGCAGAGAGCCCCATTCCTCACCAACCTCTGTGTTTTTCTGCTTCATAGCCTCAAAGTAGGGTGAGTGCTCAGCCAGGTGCCGGCTGGGAGCACACAGGTAGTAGATGTTGCGGGTGCCAGCCTGCATACGGCTGGCGTAGTCTGAAAGGCTGGTCAGCTGCCCAGCAGGCAGTGCTGAGGACTCGTAGCGCAGCAACTTCGCAATGTCTTCCTATAGACAGATA